TCGATATGTTCTATACCTATGTCGATCTCAATCATGCCGGGGTACATGTACCTGCTGGTTATGACATTTTCAATTATAAATGTAACAATGTTTATTTGTTCTCTCTCTCTATCACCAGGAAACCTATGCACGTGCTGTATGGAAGGTAACGGTTACTTTGGCTGGCAGTGTGACACTGTGACTGGGTGTTTCTGTAAAAAAGGACAGAGATGTCAACGTACTCTAAGAACATGTCCTGGACACTGTGTGGACAACCCCTGGGGAATAGGATGTCATGATGGTGAGTACTAAGGGTTTTAGAGAGGTTCTGCATTGTAAAATTAATTAATTAATTAATTGATAATTACACTCCACCAAAATAGAACTGCTCTTGAAAAAGCGTTATTTTGGATAATTCTGAATTAATTACAAAAAACAGTGAAGATATTTGGCAAACAGTATGTAGGCTACAGTTAAAATAAAGTATTGAGGTTGATCAGAATCAGTACCACTGTTAATTGTCAAGACTTGCTCAAACTTTTTCACTCCATTTGCATAACTTATGAAAATGAAATTTGATACCTCAATCATGAATATCGCTGTTATCCAAATCCATGCAAAAAAATTAAAAGTAACGAATGGTGGGTGCATTGTCCATCAATATTTGGTTAAAATATTTACCTTAGCTAATATGGTTATTTTACAACTATTCTGAATAACGATGTTTCCGAACTTTTTTGGTGGAATGTATTTTAAATTACGTCATAAACGGATCATCTATTATATACATTAACGACAGTGCAGTTCCTGTGCAAACACTCATTTCAAAAAGATTCCTTTACAATGTGTATTATAAGGTCAATCCCGAACATTATTTTCATATCTTTATTATATATGTATGTGTATTAGGTGCATATTGCCAAACAATTTCATTCCTGAATATTATTGTAATTTTTATTCTAGAATTGGTCAACTTAGCCCTTAGAAAACCAGCCACACAGTCAAGTACCTCGAGTGGATATGGTCTGAGTTACCCACAGCATCTTTTGCAGTGGACGGAGACAAAAGCACACATAACCTGAATTGTACAAGAACGAACCTCATGCACAATCCCACCTGGAGTGTGGACCTAAAGGGCTTATATGTTATTCGCAGAGTCGTATTGATAAAACCTACTACAATTGTTGACTTATGTAAGTTTTAAATTTGTAAGATGTAATCTGCTTTTGCAACGACCCTTTTTACAAATATTTACTCATTTTAACAAGGGTTACATTTTGCGCAACCAATTACGTGTTTATCAAGATAATATCCTCACGATTTACTAGCAGTAACTAAATTAAAATTATCATTTTTCAGGTCAATTCCGTAATGTCAGGCTCTGCATTAACAACAACACAGCATCATGGACTGGATGCAGAGATGTATCTGTTCCTAATACACGGTGTTCAACTGCAATGTTAGAGTACAAGATAGATCCACCAATCTTGGCACGCTACGTCTCGTTGTGTGAAATGATCGTGAGAGGCTACATGTATCCCTGTAAGTTGACTTTGTTTAGAAGAGACGCATATTTACTTTTTAGAGGAATGTTTTCGAATAATTTGTAGTTCATTAACATTTTTCTACATTAAACTCTTATGTTTTTGTATAATGATCAGCTTACTGATTAAATTTTGTGCACCGTTGAAAGTTTCATAAAAAGTTTCTGCAGCAACGTTACGCTCTGAAATTGTATATCTGATGATTGTTATTATGCTAACGGGTATATATGTTAGTAAAGAGTCAAAGCAAACGTACTGAAGACGAAACCGCGTGTAGATCAAATGACCTATTTTAGACAATGTCGCCCTTGGAAAAACAGCGAATCAAACCAGTGTGGATTATGGTGGAGTTGCAAGTCGTGCTATAGATGGAGATGTTACCGCATATTTCGGTGGTGGGTCATGTACTCACACGAAGGTAACATCATACCCCTGGTGGCGGGTAGACCTGGGTCAACAGTACGTGGTATACAGTGTTACGTTATTTATCACAGGCAGTGGTGTTGACTGTAAGTATATGTCTTGGTATATGTTTTTATCATGTGTCCACTGGTAGTATACACATATATGCATAAATGGTTGTGAAATAACCAACTCGTCCATCCCTTTCTCTCATGCTCACAGACACATTTCGTTGTAATTTTATGAACTTATGATGAATACAATTCCCCAAAATATATTCTGTGCATGTGCAACGTGAATTTACCGTCGGTGATCCATTCACCAACCTCTCGTCCACATTGCATGTACACTCAATGTTACTGAATAATCTAAAATTCAAACATGTAATCTAGACTGAAGAATGAATTTGAAAAAAAAAATGAGAAAAATACTCTTAATTTTGACCTATCTTCCTTTGTATTATAACACTTGAAAGTTAAGTCCAAACATAATGCACGATCAATGATGGACAATTATTATTTTTACGTTTTTAGCTATTGGACAATAAACGTTCTTTTGTACCGTAATTAATGCTTTTTTAAGTGTTCCCTAACTTCTTTTGAGTAGTATAATTCTGTTTAACCTTTCAACCGGCAAGAATTTACGTGATATAAAAGTTTTCGTACGTAACAGCACAGAAACCAACAACAGAAGCGTATGTGCATTATATGGTCCCCAAGTGCCTCGAGGTGGAAGTATAGAGTTGTCATGTCAAGTTCCGTATATTGGTCAAGTCCTGTTTGTCCAGCTGCAGTACACCGCCCCTTTAATACTCTGTGAAGTTACTATAAAAGGGTATAAATATGAAGGTAAATATCCAACCACTTAGATATTTTTAAGCATTAAGTGCACATTCGTTGTCCTGACTAGTATTGTCATTATATTCTATAGAAATGTCAAATCTGTTGAAGCTATTTACGAAATGCATGTTGATATTTGTATTACGGTTCAAATGTTCATGCAAAATTCGTTTCAGTTAAAGACTGTATACAGTGGCCGGGATTTGATAGAAAACGTTTTTTTATTCTGTTGGACATGTAATTGTCTCAAAATATCGTCTAGATGTTGCTGTTTGTTAAGTTTGATAACACCAATACTACTGATAGAGTGACAAGTTTTATACAGAAAAGTTGTGATATATTTCATTTCAGAATGTACAAATAAACACCTTGGTCCTGAATGCAGAAACCGCTGTAACTGTAGAGATACCAGTGAACAGTGTCATCCCGTGTATGGAGTCTGTACATCTGGCTGTGCTGAAGGCTGGCAGGGACATCATGGGACATGTCAAGTCGGTATGTAAAAGGCAGTATCTCAGGAAACTACGCATTTCCTTTTTTTTAAATTTTTGTGCACAATTATCTGACACTCTATGTTGAGATAAAGGATTTCATTGCACTGCTATCTAGCCTTCCATAACGTATGCTATACTCTAACGCAGCATAAAAGACTATGTTGAAATATCATTGTGAATTAAATTCCAAAAAATATTTTTATTTTTGCTCTCTAATTATTGTTTTATTTTATTTTATTTTATTTTGCAGAAACATCTTCACTCCCTCATTTAGCCACAGCACCAAAATTGGTCAATAGGACAAACAATTCACTCACCATAAGGTGGCAAAAGTGGTCACCGCCGACCCATTCAGGGGATGGTATATACTATAGTGTTCACAGCTACGTCATTAGATTTTGGCGGCAGAATGACCTTCCCATCAACGTAACAGTATCAGCAGCAAACCATACAACTAATATCACAAATCTTTCTCAGTACACAGAATATAATGTCACTGTAACTATCAAGAGTAATGCAGGATATCAGGGTTTTCCTAGCTCACCAACCACTGCAAGAACATGTGGAGGTAATTATGATATTGTCCCCGCGATTGGCTTGCCTTTTTGTTTGCGATAAATAAGGTCATTTGTTATATAAGAATTATATACGAAAATACCACAGGCTTTTATATATTGGTTTAGACATTTTAAATTTTTTTATCATTTTTCAGAACCTGTGACACCACCGAAACCAAACGTCGAATCTTTTCTTGCCCCATCAAAAAGATCAACTAAAATACAGATAAACACAACGGTGCGTACACCACATTAATACACTGTGTCATACACGTATATCGTTAAGTGAATGTAGCAGATGTAGCAAAGCGGAGTTCGTGCTTCTCTGAGAGATGTTCTCAATGCACTTGGGTGCAGAGTTATTTTTAAAATATATTCGCGTGAAGACACGAGTTTGAGAACATCCCAGAGAGCGTTACCCACGGCTTAGACCCCATTTCCAGAGCGACCTAACTCCCTGGGGGTTCACGCTAAATAGCTGTCAGCCGAGCGGGCACGAAAGTTAATTACCCCCTTACAGCTTGTAATAGGCGGGACGGACTTTTAAGCCGGATTATCTGACAGTAATCTAGTGAGACTCCCCGCGGGGATAGATCGATCTAAAAGCTCTGGGAATACAGCCTTAGTGACTCAGGGAAATAAATGTGTGATTATCTTTAAATTAAACGACGGATAGAAGAAGTAACTATGCTAGTTTTATGGTCCATTGTATAACCGAGGCCCAAATCTGCTGTATTTTAAGCTTATATCGTTGGATTTAACCTGTCTATTCTTTTTCAAAAGAAATCAAAAGAATTCATTGATTTTAGGGGATGAACCAAGATATCCATAGATGCGATGGGTTTGCAAATTTGACTGTTCGATTTGAGGGAGAATACCATCACAGTGGCACGATGGGAGTGCTGCATGTCAACGAAACACAGTCGATTACTATTACCAACCTCATGGCATATAGTAAATACACCATCTACCTGACAGCGTTTAACAACTTAAAATTGCCAGGGCCACCAGTGACAGTGACTCATACAACACCTGAAGGGGGTAAGGCCTTCTTTTAAATTTTCTTACCCTATTTATTGTAAATAAGCCATATGCAGGAGGTTTTATTATGGATAAGCTTTTGTGGTGAGTTTACATAATACAATTTATTGGGTGTTACAGTTCCACCAAAGATGGCTGCACCAGAGGTGACATCTACTGGAGACAGCTTTATAGAGATAACATGGCGTGCGCCGTTCCCTCCAGGTGGCGTTATCGTCAGTTACGAGATATCGTGCACTCAACAGTCCAGTCTTTGGAATGAGACGGTGACTGCTGCAGACATTACTAGTATAACTATTGGCAATTTGCGGTTCAAGTCCACGTACTTGCTTCGAGTAAGTATATTTCATACCCTCATCCAGGATATTTTAATGACGAAAGTATCGCTTTATGTGTGTTTAATGAAACAAAAAACGACAAGTTCATGCGATTTTGCACTGTAACCCTTATGCTCCTACTGTATATACTGTTTTCCCCCACCGTTAGCGTTTGTCATTTTAGATCCGCTGCAAAACTGCTGTCGGCTATGGCGAATATAGTGATGTAATTTGGGCAACAACGGACGAAAAAGGTATCACAACGTCACTGTCATAGCTACATGTACCCTCGGGAATTCTGTGTGGCCATCGTGCTACACAGTTTGAGAATAAATTCCGTCATGTTTTAGACTCAAAGTTTAATTTTTTCTCATTTTTTTAAATGGTTTTATTTAAACGGTGTAAGTTTCCAACTGCATGTAGGGTGTTTTCCCTTGCTATAATGTAATGTAATGTCCGTGTCACAGGTATAAATGGTGGCGCTGTAGCAGGAGGTGTGTTGGGGGTTCTTGTCCTGGTGGCGGTACTTGTGGTTGTGGTTGTCATATACAAAAGGTAAACCTTTGTAGATTACGATAGATAGTGCTTAAATAAACAAATGTAAAAATACGTTATTATGTATATTTGTAGCCGTATATATCATGAACAAGAACTTCATAACCTTAGTATACATAAAGCAATGTTAACATGTATGCACTATGGCACTTTAGAGAAATATGAAATTAGATAACCATATGATACAGTTAAATTGTATGTTGCAAATGCGGCCCAACACATCAAATTGAGTCATCTAAAATTTTTCAAATAGGCAACATTAAATCCTTAATTATGTTGTACATGTGGAAGTCAAAGCCTGTTCAAGACTCTTACCATTATTTGTAAACTTCTTTTGCAGAAGACGACGCACTCAAGAGCTTTATGAAGTTGATGCCTTTTCTGAATTGCAGAGAAAAGAAGGTATTTATTTTTCACTAAAATCTATTGTGTCCAGCACTTGATTAAAAATGCACTTGATTAAAAAGTAGATCCCATTATCTCCTTGCTGTGAATTTTTAGCTTCAGATCTAGATGACCATGTATATGAATCTCCGGTTCAAAGTCTGTATGAAAACACAGAAGACGAGTTTCTCTATAGCAGTATCAAAGAAAAAACAGAAATTTCTGTCGAGGACATCTTTCAGGTCATGAGATTGAAAACCAGAGATATTCTTATCGACGAGTATCAGGTATGATTTGTCCACGTTTTAATACACATTGGTGAAATCATAAAAAAAAATTATAACTCCTATTTACTGATATAAAGTGTGCAATAAACAAATGTTAAAGTGTTGTTGTACTGTTATTAGGTCAGTTTATACATTTTGGATGTTTTTTTTTCAGAAATTTCCCATCATCTTGAAAAGCCCTTGTAAAGCCGGCCAAAAACGAGAAAACAAACTAAAGAACAGGTTTCAGAACATTATGCCATGAAAGCCGTCAAATTTGAATTTTCTACAGTAAAAAAATTCAGCTTATTATTTTGTTTTTAATACTGCAGTACTTGCAGTACATGTGCGAACACAGAGTAATATAACAATGAAATTACTTGTTCGATCTTATAGAAATTAAATATATGAACATATATATTGTATACATAAAGCAAATTTAAGTTATGCGCTTTATCTAAATAAATAACACAATGTGCTTACGTCCAATTTCATACAAATGTTTATTTTACATTAGATGACCATAGCCGAGTTGTATTGGACCTTTTGCCAGATGATCCCAACTCTGACTACATCAATGCAAACTATATTGATGTAAGTTGTTCACATAAATGTATTTTGTTATATCATTATTCACGTTCGTGTAATGTACTCTACATACAAGTACCAGCATATATGTTTTTGGCCAATTTAATTTGTTGTTATCAACATTTGATAGTTATTTAATCCCCGCATAATCGGGAATGGTATTGGCAGTTTTTTTTTTCTTTTGATTGGTTCACCTTTATCTGTAAATATATATTACTTGATAACGAAGTTGCTGCAGTAAACAAAATAATGAAGCCAACGATTAAAGCCATACTTCACCATTATATTTCATTTTTCAGGGATATAGCAGACCACGTGCTTTCATTGCTGCACAGGGTAACTGTAACTTTAAATAGTTAAATGATAGCTGACCTCTCTTACATGCACGCCCCCTATAAGGCCTAATCAACATTACGCGAATTAATGAATTCCAATTTGGAACCAACTGTACACTGCATGTTTGATAAAATAATTTGTTACTTGCCATAGTATATGTAAATAAATGATTTCATTTCTAAAAAAAAATAATTATTAGTTTACTTCAGGTCCAAAACCGAATACCGTAAACGACTTCTGGCGGATGATATGGGAAGTCAAGTCTCCACAAATTGTAATGTTGACGAAAACTGTAGAAATGGGCAAGGTATGCCAATAAATAATCGTAAAAATATTTTATATTTTAAGCATTAGGTTAAGCAAAAGGCGCATTAAATAGAACTGCAAAATGTTATGTTTTCTAACGTTTGACAGTCATAAGAATAAACCGTGCGTATTCAAATATATCCAGATTATTTTAATATTAACCCCTATACATGCATATGTAACGTGGCATCCCGTTTTTTCGGCTCAGCAAAAATGTGAGCAGTACTGGGCAGACGAGGGAGTGAAGCAGTTTGGCGAAATAGAAGTGACCACACTGGATGAAGTTCACGGACAGGATTTCTTAGTCCGAAATCTACAGTACCGTAAAGTAAGCACAGTGTAACCCAGTTCACATACATGTAAGAGTTGTCATAACAATATCGTCATGCAGGCACACGCATTTCTTTCTATAACCAAATCCGTTGATCTTATTAAACACGTGCCCGAAATATAAATATTGATACTTGTTAGCATGTCATTAATATCGAGGGGTGTTGTTATTTACTTTATAAAACTCTGGATGAATTTATCTGACTTAAGAAAGGAGACCAGACAACCCGTACTGTGAAACAGTTCCACTTCACCGGTTGGCCTGATGAAGGCGTGCCTGTCAACCCGACGGCTTTGATTAAATTTCGAGAGGAAGTTAAAAAGTATGAAAGCCAAGTTTATGACCAAGGGCCTATCGTTGTGCACTGCAGGTGAAATGTAGTTTTAATTTCTTACTTTTAATATATTTTAATCTTCAACAGTTTATGTTTTTATTCATTAAAAGTAAATTTTTCACGACAACTAATACATGCTACTCTGTACAATGAGCGTGTGTCCTCCTGCATATGCAAACAAAGAATAGGATAGGGTTGAAAAACATCTGCTATTAAAATCATTTGTCTCGCTCCCTTTTAGCGCAGGGGTTGGCAACACTGGTACTTTCATTGCACTGGACTACCGTTTAGAACAAGCGTTGGCCGAAGGAAAGATCGACATTTTCCGAGTTGTTCAGTTATTGCGAGCATCCAGACCGCAAATGGTGCAGACAAAGGTATGACGTTTTAGACCGCATTCAGAACAGTGGATTAACTAGTCCGAGGATCGATTCTAGGACAATTCGCCCCAGGACAATCCCCCAGACGATTCCCCCCAAGATATATTTATATGCAAATATATAGTAAAGAGTATAAAGTTTAAAACATTTCATCCATTTATTTATAATTTTAGTGTGATAATACAAAATAATTTGTTTAATGATGAAGTTGTATTATCACACTAAATTATAAATAAAATGGATGGAATGTTTTAAACTTTATACTGTTA